GGTCCACAGTGCTCTCAATATTAAGACACTGCTTTCTTTAAACACTTACTTTTTTGGGTTTTCTCTGACCTGCCAGCAGGGTCTCATGCTCAGCAGTGTACTCATGACCCCGATCACTACCACTCCATCCTCTTTAAGGTGTGATGGGAAATCATAGGTTCATTTTTCCAGGATATTCCCAACTGAGCTATAATAAAGGAATTTAGGAAAACTGATCATCTCGTCAAATAGCCTGCCTCAGGCAGAAGTAATTACCAATAACGAGAGCAGTGGAGACAGCGAGTAAGATAATGAAGAATTACAAATGCTATCCAATCAGAAGAGGGGTGACCAGAAAACACTACAAGTGAGTAAATCCTTTCATATGGATTTTAAATAATTGTTTCAAAAAGATCCAAGACAGGCTAGGCACGAAAAAGAAAGGAGCTCCAATACTAATTGGTTCACAGGACCTGGAACATAACAGTGCTCCATGGATGTGCAGATGGGTGATGCAAGAAAGAATAAATGAGAAGGAGCCAACCATTGCTCTGTGTGTGAATAACACACCACATAGATCCCATGAAACCACCTTAACCCTAGATGGCTTTCTCACAACACCCAGCACATTTTAGACCCCCTTCTTAAAGGTCAACCAATTTACCCTCAGAATGACCATTTTAATAGCAGCTGAAACATAACAGAAGGCTAAATCCCATGCCAAAAAATTTACATACTGTATCTGAAAGCTAAGTGAAAATCGAAAATTATCTGCATCCCTGCACTTTTTCATAAAGTGCAGTTTTGGTTTTTACTTAATAGAAGCCATAGACAGAGACAGACGAAGTTTTAACTATCATCAAAAAATAGCCAAAAGAACCTTTCTAGACTGTAAGCTCCTAGAGGACATGGGCAGTGTCTTTGTCAATATTTGCAGGGAATCAATAAATATGGGCTGAAGGATCAATGCACCCCCAAGAGCCTGTAACTGGCAACCACCTCTCAGTGGACTAGAAAAAGCAGAAAATCAACTTAGAAACACTGAGAAAAGGTTGGGATGGAGCACTGGGCGATATTCAAAAATTCATTCAACACACATTTACTGACTACCTACCACGTGCCTGGCACTGTTCTAGATGCCTGGAGTTTTGTGATTACAAAACAAACAGGGTCTCTGCCCTCATGTAACTTGAGACAACTACTACCCATACAGAGTTAAAACTGCGGTGAGTGCTCTGAAGGACATAATGCATAGTGCTTATAAAGGATATAATGCAACTTAGGGAAGCTGGATTTAAACTAGGGGGGTCAGGACAGGCCTCTGTTTAAGGTGAGATCTGAAGAGTAAGTAGGGGATGGCCAGAGATAGCATGTGGGTGCCATTCCAGGAGGGCACGGCCGGCGCGCAGGGCTAGGCGCTCAGCGAATGGGAGAGCGACAGACAAGCAGGGAGTGGGGCGGGCGCGCGGGGAGTGGGGCGTGGGAGTTGGCGCGTGGGACCCGCGCGGGGCGGAGGGCGCGGAAGGCAGGGACCGGCCAGCGGGCCGCACGAGCCTGGGCATCAGGTTCTCCGTTCACTGCAGAGTGGCGAGCAGGGGCGCGACCCTATTCCCGTTTCAGGGGGTCGCCTCCCTCTCCCGCCTGCTCCGACAGAACCCCAGTCCCCGCTGCGTGTCATTCCATCAGTCCACTAGCCCGGTCCCCAAATGTGGGCCCCAGGGCAGGGAGCCCGGTCTCGGGGGCGGGGAGGAGAGGGCGCCTGGTCCCTCCGTCGCGGAGTAGTCACCTGAGCGGCTCAGCACCTCCCACTCGTCGGGCCCGCAGAAAATCGCGGCCAAGGCCGAGAGCTCCTCCTGCGCCCGCTCCGCCATGGCCGCGCGGCCCCGCCCCCTCCGCACCTCCCCTTCCGCCGCCCCCGCCCCCGCCGGCCCGGAGCAGCGCGGCCGGCCGGCCACCAGGGGGCGCTCCGCGTCTCCGCAGCGCCGGGGGCCGGGCGGGGGCGGGGTGGCCCTGGAAGTCCCGCCCACAGCTCCCGCTCGCTCACTCCAGACGGGAGGCTCCGTCCGTTTTGGGGACTTTTCTGGGAGGCCAAAGGCCCCGTGGCCCGGGGCAGGGTGTCTGCCAGAGGCGACCGTGCAGCTTACCCGTTGCTTTCCTGACAGAGGGAGGCCTCCCAGCAAAGCCCGACAACCTCTAGCTTTTAGCCCCGGCTTTGAACTCGCTCACCTTTGCTGCCCAGACCCGGCCTTAAGCTGCCCGGGCGGGGGATGGACAGGGCAAAAGTAACCTTGCAGTTAGGAAGAAATCAACAAGCAGGGAAGTGACCAGAGAGGAGGTAGCCCTGTACCCACCTAGCCTTGAACTAGGTGTTGCGGATGCTGCAGTCAACAGAACAGACGAGATTCTCGGTCCTCGCGGAGCCATTAGTGATCCAGGCGGTCTGGGACTCGCGGAAAAGGCGCGGGGCAGTAACAACCCCCACTGCTGAGCTGTAACCGGCGCTGGGACTCCGGACAGGGATCAGAGTCCTGGGACCCCTTTTTTTTAACAGGTGCAGAAATGGAGAGTTAGACTTGCCAGCCCTGGCATTGTAAGAAAATTACTGGGGTAGCCCGGGACCTTGTGGGGAGCTATGTGCCCAAGGTGCTGGGTGCAACGTCATAGCATTCCCCATTTGTCTCCTGTCTTCACAGGGGACAGCCCTGCTGAATGAACCAATGGAACTCCTTGGACTTTGGGGGTACAATCGAGTGGTGTAAGCGTAGCAAACGCTGGCTTTTCAATATTATTTATTTTGTGATATTTGATGCATACAAAACAGTGTGGCTCTTGAAACTTGGTAATGAAATGATCACCCCTGAATCCAGCACTTAAATGTAAGAATTGGAGCAATACTAATAGGGTAACAATTATCAGTCCGTTCTGTTTCAGCTTTGATTTAGAGAACGAGATTACTATGATCCTCGGTGATAGCTCTGTCAGCATGTTTGGCTTGTCCTTTTGTTTTTCAAGTAACAATTTAAAATTTGGCATTCCCCAAATGTAGCTGGTCTAGCTCACCGAGGTCCCACAATTTTTGTTTGCATCAGAAATAACATTCTTTGAGATAAATCAGGGAATTTAGATGGCCTCACAGTGACTCCTGTCATTGACCTACAAAACTCAGAATAAACGGGGCTGATTTTAAGACTGAATCCATGTTACCATCATCAACATCATTCCCACTGTTGGTAAAAAGGGATTTTAAAAAGGAAAAGATACAGGCTTCTGAGAACAGAAAGGAGATATCTAACAAGATGGACTGCAGGAGAATGTTTTTCAGAGGATGCCAGGGGACTTCCGTGACCCCAAGTAATTAAGAGCACTGCTGTGCACATAGTTGGAAAGACATAAGTTTACTTAAACTCGTAATTATCTCTGATGTGGCCAATTTGTTTAATAAAAAAAAAAAACTTTGAATCATTTCCAAAATAGCAGCAGATCAGTAGGTTCATAATTAGCTACTAAAGAGTTTGGTGAACAAAAGAATAAATTTTTAATGTAAAATATCACTAAATTATTTGATTTTATTTTGAAGTCCAAGGTTAGTATTAAAAGTGGTAGGAAAATATTAAATTTAGTTATTTGACTTTATAAAGATAATCTGCAAAACATCAAATAGTTCATATCTTATTTTTTGTGTGTGTGTGAGGAAGATCGGCCCTGAGCTAACATCTGCCAATCCTCCTCTTTTTGCTGAGGAAGACTGGCCCTGGGCTAACATCCATGCTCATCTTCCTCTACTTTATATGGGCCCAGCCACATATAAAGTATGCCACAGCATGGCTTGACAAGCAGTGCGTCAGTGCGTGCCCAGGATCTGAACCAGCGAACCCCGGGCCGCCACAGCGGAGCGCGCACACTCAACCACTTGCGCCACTGAGCTGGCCCTGTTCATATCTTATTTTTAATTTCCCAGATTCACTATAAGTGATATGAGTGAGAGAATATGAACAGTAAGACTACAGCTGTCAGACCTGTGAGGAGGCAGTCACTGAAGCTGCTTTCAGCAAGGTGTCCATGAAATTGACATGAGGACATCAATCTATTTAAAATTTTCTCATCAATAGGTTTCTTCTTTGCCTTTTCTTTCTCCATTGATTTCTTAACCTGCTTTTCGTACTCCATTTAGCATGTTTAAATGAAAAAGTCGATGTGAATGTCTTTTAAATTGACACTATCCTAAGGCCCTGAGGTCCCATGAATAAGTTTCTGCTCTCTAACATTTGGAAGTAATCATCACAGAGACAGCATCATGTCAGCGTGGTAGTTCTCACACTATGAAAATATCACTACATGTCAAATATCTCAAGCCTACTTTAATGTAATAAATGTTCTTGTATTCACAAGCTACTGAAAATTCTAAATATTTAATGTGAAATGAATGTCTAGACGTATGGATGAATGTCTACTTAGAGCACAGTTGCTTTCTCTCTCTCTCCCCTCCTCGGCCCCCAACAGTACATGATTTGCTAGAACAAGATTATTTATAGATGCCACTTTCCTAAATAGTTGCTTCCCCATGACCCTAAGGAGGGGAAGTTTTAAACCTCTCACCTCCAGTTAAAACCACTAGCGCAGGAGATCGTTCTTTTAACTTTTCTGGGAAAACACTTTCACTCCCTTTATCATGAGTAGTATGTAGACTTAAATACTCAACTCTATGTCTGAAATTTTAGGTCAAACCCCACTTAAGCACAGAAAGGAGAACACACAATTTTAAGAGTATTAGGAAAGTTTGTGTTAGTATCGTGTCAGAAAAGCTGAGAATCCTAATACCAAAGTGAATGGGGGTGTGATAAGGAAAATTATCATACTAAGACTATGAGAAAAGTAAAAATGCTTTCAAGAACCACTAAGAGTAAAGAACAAAAGAGGGCCGGCTCCGTGGCTTAGCGGTTAAGTGCGTGCGCTCTGGTGCTGGCGGCCCGGGTTCGGATCCCGGGCACGCCCCAAGGTACCACTTCTCCGTCCAACGTGAGGCCGGGACCCACGTACAGCAACTAGGAGGATGTGAACCTATGACATACAACTATCTGCTGGGGCTTTGGGGGGAAAAAAATGAATAAATAAAATCTTTAAAAAAAAAAAAAAAAAAGAACAAAAGAGGCATTGAGTGCCAACTTGCTAAATGAACCTGAACTCCAATAAGCTGTACTACTGGTTCTGTCTGAAGGGTTTCTGTATTTGCTCATTTCGTAAAATGTCGTTGGGCTCTCATTGACTGTTGGCCTGGCTCTACAAACGGAGTGTTCAGATCTAGAGATGAAAGCAACAAGCTTCGTAATATGCAAGTAAACACAATATGCAACAATTACAACTTCTCTCACGACACTGAGGGTATAAGAATTATACATTTCCTTCTGGGTGGGAAGTTCAATATCGTGGTATAGGTAAAAGCAATGGAGGGCCGGGATAGCAGGTACCTCCCACAACTTCCCAGAGGAGAACTATGTTTGTAATGCCCAGGAACATGGTAAGCTTCCAAAAGTACATAAAGTCAGTGGTGTTGAGTGCTCATAGTGCTTTTGTTCTGTTACATTGTGCAAGTCACCAATCTATTTTTCACCAAGATAGCAAAACAAAAGCAAATAAAATCTATGACAATGACTCTTAGTTTCATGGAAAGATCTGCCTCCACCATGTCCAGCTAATCTGTACTTCCTCCAAAAGATTGGTTACCCTCTGCCCATGCGAAGCGTGCTTGATTCTTATGCATGAGGGTATCAAAACAGTTCCAGCTTGCTTTGTGGGAAAACATACACAGGCTGAGGTCCACTGACATAAAAGGTCAATGCCTTATCAATGTTATAAAAACAAGTCTTAGTATCATTAGGGTTTTAGAGTTTGTCTAGTTAAAATAACCCCCAATACTTCATTTTGGTTACTACTGTAAATGGCTTCTTTTTATTATTATATTTTCCCACTGTGTATTACTAGTGTAGCCAGTTTTTATCATCTGAGTGGGATTTGGGGGGGCTGTGTGATTTTTTAAAAATCCTTTTCTCCAAACTGATTAAAGGACTATAAATGAGTAGTAAACTCTGCCATTTTGGCAAAATAGATTCTCAGTGGTTGAAAATTGAAAGAGAGAGGTATAGGGGCTGGCCCCGTGACGTAGTGGTTAAGTTCACGCACTCCGCTTCAGTGGCCCAGGGTTCACAGGTTCGGATCCCGGGAATGGATCTATGCACTGCTTACCAAGCCATGCTGTGGCAGGCATCCCACGTAAAATAGAGGAGGATGGGCACAGATAGTAGCCCAGGGCCAATATTTCTCAGCAAAAAGAGGAGGATTGGCTATGGATGTTAGCTCAGGGCTAGTCTTCCTCACCAAAAAAAAAAGAGAGAGAGAGGTAGATCGAGGAACCAAAACTATGATTGGGAAAACTAGACCTAGATTTTAAAAAAAAATTGGGGTCCCTATGGGCAAAAGATGTGTTAGATCAGAGAGAGGGAAGGAAGAAGGGAGAGAGAAAGGGAGAAAAAGAGGAAGGAGGAGGAGAGGGAGGGGCAAAGAGAGGAAATAGGAAGATGAACACTTCAGAAGACGATGTGAAAAGGGAGATTTTTATGAAGTAAAGGAAACCATGAGTTAGGAATTTGGCTTTATTTCTAGAAGAAGAAGATTGATTTATCTGCCTTTTAAGCAGTAGAGAGACCTGAAACTTTATTCAGTAATAATATGAGATTTGCTTCAAAATAATGTGGGAAGGGGCAAGATGCTGGGGTATGGATGGGGCTGAGGGGACCATAGGTTAATAATTGGTGAGACAGAGATGTGGGTACAGAAGGATTAGGTATTTTATTCTGTCTGCCTTTGTGTATTTTATATTCCCTATAATAAAAGTTAATTTTTAAAAT